GTCGTGTTTTTCGGCGCTGGCTCCGCACCTTTCGCAGGCTGCGGTGGGACTGCCCGCTGCTTCCTGACGGAAGTTTCCCTCTTCAAGTCTGGCCTCTGGCAGCGCTTGTTTGCGCCTCGCGTCCTGTGGATAACACGGAGGGCAGGGCGGTTCTGTTCCCTGGTCCGATCTGTCGGCTTCGCGGCATCTTTGCGTGTATTGGGATTGTGGAGGCGTACTTCTCTGGCGTGTCTTGGGGTTTGACAAATCTGTGTGCATTCCGCGTTTAGAGATCCAGCCTCGAAGAGGGACAACGTGTGATGTGAAAATTGAGATATAAAAGTACTTGGGTATGAATTTGAAAAGAAGCATAAACGTGGACGTTACCTAACTCTAAAGATACCGGCAGGATGATAATCTTCATGTTTTTTACTGCTTAGTTTTTTCCTTCAGACTTGCAGCCTTTTTTCTTGTGTGTTACTTTGTAACTAGATGTAAACCTGTGGACTTGTCTTACTAAATAGCATTTGCTGTTGTAGTTATACCATAGAATTGCTTGCTACAGACTTGTAGGAAAAAAAACAAAACTGTTCCTTTTGCAAGAACAGCTTACAAAAATGAGCAAAATAAGATGGACTAGCAACTTTTTTAGCATATATGTGGATCTTTAGCCTACCTCTATATTTATATAAAGAATAAGATCTCACCTTCTTTTCAAGTTTAACATATTCCTCCTGCAATTATCTTTCTTGTTAGAAAAAACAAGGTTGAGGAATATATTCCTCAAGACTATCAGAAGCCTTGCTGTCCTATGTTCTGGAATTAACTCACGGGAATTAAAAACTGCGCTCTGAGAAAATTGTTTTCTATATAGGCAACTTGGTGGTAGAAAGTTCATCTGTATGGCCTTGTCACTGGGAAGACGAGCACATATCTTAATATGGATGTTATGTTCTGTAACAGAAACAGTACAAACCCCAAATTTTGTTTTCATTGATGCAGAGTTATATAGTAGTAACTGCTCAGCTGTATGATGTGATGTTTCTCCCTGTCTTTTGGTGGCAGACTTAATTGAAAGCAATTTATTGATTGTCCCTGATAATTCCAGTAGGAGTTTTTTAAACTACAGTCCCTCGGATTCAGTGGGCTGTAGTTTTTGGTCCTGAAAAATGAGCTGTTGTTAGTTTTAACTTTTCTCTTCCTATTTCTAACTTATGCTAAGGTTTTCCCGTGTTTTATGCTTTTTAGGATTTTTTGTTTGTTTTTTGTTTTAAAGCCGTGTTATTATTTCTAAGTGGCTCATGAATGAGCAAGTGTTAATAGTCCAGGAAACAACCTCAAAGCCCGCACTACAAGGAAGTGTTAGGAGTGAAACATTGGGAGTGATTTTTGATTTGTCTGTCCCTAAAATGTTGAGGAGTCACTCTTCTGAATAAATTCTCATGTGTCAGTTGTCTTTCCAGAAGAATATACAAGTTCTTTTAGTTTACGTTTCCTTGAGTGCTGAAATAGGAACAAGGCAACATCATCTGTGAATGGTTAATTTAGAATAGTGTAGCTATTTCTGAATATAGAAATAAGCCCTAATTTCTGCATTAATTTATGCTCTTAGTAAGAATATGGTATAACCCTAGCCTAAAAATAAGTTACTGAAATTTCTAGTTTCAAAAGTGGCAGTAATATAATTTCAGAGCGTTTAAATAGCTGTAAACATATGAAGTCCTGGCAACTATTTTCTAATTCTTTTCTCAACGTTAAGTATCTGTGAAGAGCTGGTGTTTTGGTCAGTATATGAACAAATCTTGTTAGTAATTCATAGTGCTTTAATGTTGGAAAGATGATGGCATGCAGTACTTAACTGGGATATTAATGCTACTTCTCGGTGGTCCATGTAATAGATTGCTTAGTGAATGAGATCGTTGTGTCCTAGAAGCAGATAATGAATACATTAGCAAAGCTGTTAGTCAGATGATACCCTTCTAATATTTAGTGTTTAACGGATAGTTTACTTTCAGATAGTTGACTGTAAAAAGGGAGACAATTTTTTTTACTGAAGGTTGCATAAAACCTTGGTGCACCCGTGTGTTTTTTGATGAGCTTATTTTTGAAGACTTAAAAAAAAAAATTTTAGGCTTCCTTACATAAATAAATCTTTTTTTTTGAAGAATACAGACGTTTTGCAATGGTAGTGTCAAGTTAGTTTTTGCAGCTTTGGCAATTTTACTTTAAACAGAAAATTTATTAGTCATTTGGTGAAATCAAGTTTCACTAATTTAATAGGTCAAACTTTTCAGCCTTCTCTTGAGTCAGTATTAACAAGAAAAGCTTGCATAAGTATTTACTTATGTTGTTGTTTGTTCTTGCTGTCAATTGCACTGAAAAGTGCTTTTTTTATTTTTCAGGAAATACAGGACATACTGTTGATATGAACACATTTTTGGATGATCCAGAATTTGCAGAAATTATTCTGAGAGCAGAACAGGCTGTAGAGTGTGGAGTTTTTCCAGAAAGAATCTCTCAAGGATCCAGCGGGAGTTACTTTGTCAAGGATCCAAAGGGGGTGAGCATATCATTACTGAATCAGACACTATCAACAGCTAGTTTAAAAGATGGAAAACCGTTTAGATAAACTTATTTGATAATAACTTACTGTGCGCTAAAATAACTGTCAACTAGATTGGGGGAAACAAAGCTTTTCTTTTCTTTTTCCTGTTTAAAAAATTAATTCTTTCCAATCAGTTTGTAGAATTCTTGCAGTTGTATACAACTCTATGAATATGAAACCTGTTTAGATTTCAGCGGGCTTTGATTTGAGATAACTTCCTCTCTTCAGCAGTTAAGTTCTTCACAGGTTTTTGGCTCGTATGCTTTCGTGCATGTATTCAAACTTGATGTTGCTTTTAAAGTGGAATTTTAAATGAAGACTTTATCTTATTTGGTTAGCATGCAATAGAAACATGTGGTTACTCACCCAGAATTCTTGTTTAAAGTAATACTTTGCCAAAATCCAATATATGACATGTTTAAGGAATATTTTACAGTGTTACACTAAAAATACTGTAAAACTGTTTCGGTTTTTGTGGTAGACTTTCTTGTCCTAATGCTGCGTGCAATCAAGATGTTTTATTCTTAAAAAGTTAGAGTGAGTGAAGAAATTGCTAGGAAAAAATTCAGACTTGTTCTGGATTTATATGTACACGAATCTGTTGCTTAAAGCCACTTCTAAGAGTTATTTTTTCAGCTGTGTCTGATGGCTAGCTAATGTCTAAAAGACTTGCTGTGCCCTGTGGCTGATGGAAAGGTATGCGCCACTTCCTTAACTATGGTACTTTGGATGGATCTCCTTAATTCCTTGTTTCTTCTGTGTTGACTTTGTTGGTTTTAATTTTGTTTTGCATTTAAGGTTGTAGTGTTGTTTTGGTTCCTGTCTAGATTCCTACAACAGTTTTTTTTTTTTTGTTGCTGTTATTTTTAACCCCTCTTCTTCCCTCCCCTGGCCCCTCATGCAGGTCATAGTTGAATGTAAGTATCTAGAAGAAATGATTAAAAACAGAATTTTCTTGTAGGCCAGGAAAATAATTTTATTGCAAAATATGAATATATTTGCCAGCAGGGGACTGCAGGAGTAATAATACTGAGTTCCTAGCTTTCTTCAGGTTTCCTTTATTCTTTGTTTCCTTTATTCTTTATTTCTTTTTAGGTTATCTAGATTGATTATTCCTGTTAAAGGTCTAATAAAACTTTCTTTTGTCAGTAGTGCAGTTCCCATTTGTAGAAAGGATCTCACATCCTGTTTGAGACCAGCTGCAGAGTATTGCATCATTCTGCTTCAGACCGGTTCTGTGATTTGCTTTTATTCTCCTGCTCTCCTTCTTGTGTAATCTCCTTCTCCTTATGTTGGGAAAGAGCTTATTAAAAAAATGTTTACCTTTCTTATTTGTCAGCTTCTGAAGTGTTTACTGGCACTAATACTAAGAGTAGCTACAATAACCAGTTTCTATTAGATCCTCTTACTCGCTCATTTGGTTCCATCAGAAAGATAAAACTGGGGGGGGGGGAAAACCCACCCTCCAAAACTGCACGTTTATTTGCCTCGATTGTGTACAGATAGGAAGCTGTTCAGTCCTTCAGCAGTACTCTTCCTGGCATGATGAATGTTTCTGCGTTTGTTACTCATTGGTTAACCAAGTAAAAAACATTACCTCTGTTACAAATGCGAGCTCTTCTACAGCATGCTTTTGATAGTTCCGCTGTTGGCTAACTGGTAACGCCAGTGGAGCCAATTAATTTTGACTTGCAAAATTAAGACTGGCCTCGTAGGTTGTCTTACACACTGGACTGCCTGGTTCTACTCCAGGCCCCAATTTCATTGGCTCCGCAAAATTTAGCGAGGCTCTAATGTGGTGAAATCTTGAAAACTATTTAGATTGTGCAAGTGTGATAGTATATCACAGTTAGGCCCAGGCAAGTAATGGAATGAGTTAAGCTCCTTTTCAGAAAGGTCTGTTTGTAGGAGTATTATCCAAAGAGAGATTCAGAAAAGAGATACTTAATTATTTGGCACGTACTACTGCATTTTCTGGAAAATCAAAAGTTGCTAGCTTTGCTTAGCAGCAAAGAGCAGCTCCATGCGATTCAGTAAATTCAATTAAATATCTTTTTAACAATTCTAAACCTAACATTGGAACTTTGACTAAAGAAGTATACCAAATAAATCCAGCACTCAAGGTGTTGCAAAACTTAAAACAAGCCAATTATTAATATATTCAACAAGCATTGTTTTGCATTCCAAATAGTCATGTTACATGGAATATGATAAAAACCTTTTGTATAGGTCTAAATTAAATTGTAACTGCTGTTGCGTAGTACTTAATAATGATTTTGAGTGTAACCTTAGAATCACAGGTAATAGTACCTTGAAAACATGAAGGAATTGTGACTTTGTTTCCTTCCCCTATTGATGGAAAACTTATTTTATGGGATGAATGCAAATAGTGGTGATTCATAATTTGTTTCTTTTGGTAGTTGATGAAAATGAATCAGAATGGATGGACAAGATGGGTGGTGCTATTGGTGTCCGATGTCTGGTGTGCTCTTATGTAGAAACTGAATGAAATAAATTCTCTGTAGTTAACTGTGTTTCACCAAAGCAAGACTGAAAGCGGTCAGAAACTTACTAGAATCTAGAGGAACTAGTCTCTTCCTTTCTGTAATCAAGGTAAACCAGCAGTTACTGAAGGATGATATTTGGATTGCCAGAAACCTTATTCATGACTTGCCTAGAGCAGGCGAGATCCTTTTTGTAGAACAGCTGTGAGACTGGTAGTGCAACTGCAGACAGTGTTGGCTTACTGAGAGATCCAGCTTTTGATATGCATTCCGGAAAGAACTAATATGTGAAAATGCTTTCTAAACAGTTGTTTTAAATCTTTGTTAGATAGGAATTTGACTTGTCACGGCCCTATGAGAAGGAATGAAGATGTGCCATTTCTAAACTTGAGCTGTAGGAACATCATTGCATGGGCTTCATGCATTATGCTGAAGTTTGTTGCAGATGATCAGAAGATTATATGTTTTAGTGTAATAGCAATCCTGGGTTTGTGGCTAACAAATACCGAATTGTGTGGGAGGCATGTTTAATATCTCTGTTGTAGAACAGGATCATCTTACGTGATTCCTGATGAATGTCTGACTAACCTGTTCTTCGCAACATCCTGTCTTGGAGACTCCACAGCTAGGTGGTACATTCCAGTGTTGAGCTATTCTTAATGTTCAAAAGGATTTTTCTTCTTGCATCTTATCTGCTGGGGTTTAAGGCTATCATTTGTCATCACATTGGCAGTGGATTTGTTGTTCCTCTCTCCTTTATAGCAACCTATGGTATAGTTAGGGGTTTCATGCCCCCGTTTTCTCATCTTGAGGCTAAACAATCCCAGTTCATACAGTCTTTCATTATTCACGTTTTTTTTTTTTTTCCTGGTCATTTTCATTGTTTTTCAGCTTTCTCCAGTTAGTTAACATCTTTCTTGAAGTATAGTACCCAAAATTGGATGCAATACTCCTGTGTATTTTTAAGCTTTACTATATCTCTCCAAAGTAAATGATGCTTTATTGTGTGAAGCACTGTCAACTTTGATCTGAGGAATCCACAGCAGCTGTAGAAGAAGACACTGCTCTCTAGAATTGCAATAAAATAATTTATTTTATCTAAAAGCAATAAATGAAATAAATATAGAAAATTAGAGGTAATATTTTGTTACTAGCACACTGTATATTTGTCATTTCTCTGGAAACATTGCATCTTTGACTGGTAAACCTAACCAGTGAACCAGCAGAGAGGCTGAAACCTGCTTTTTTTGAAACTACTGTCAAAAGCTATTTTTAGATTTTAAAAAGACCGTACTTAATTTTGAAAAGCTAGTAAATGTTAGATCTACTTTAGGTTTTCTGTTATGAACAATTTATTTTGAATATGTGCTACCTCTAGACGAGTATTTGATAAATTTATTTGGAATACTGTTTTGCTATTTCTAGTTTTGCTATTTCATTATCTGAAAAGAGCAAATTGCAAAATGAAGTGGATAATATTTAAATTCATTTTGAAAATTAGTTATTGAAAGTATTAATAGTTTGCAACTTAAGTATTCCTACTTAAATTTTATATCTTAGAAAAGCATTGGAGTGTTCAAACCAAAATCTGAAGAGCCTTATGGACATCTAAATCCAAAGTGGACCAAATATTTTCACAAGATTTGTTGTCCTTGCTGCTTTGGCAGAGGCTGCCTCGTTCCAAATCAGGGATACCTCTCTGAAGCTGGTGCCTATCTTGTGGATGACAAGCTGGGGCTAGGAGTTGTACCGAAAACTAAGGTAAAATTAAACTGCATGAATTACTAGAATGTGAAAAATATACAACCACAAGTTTGTCTTTCTCTGGTCTGTAGTTGTGAAGACATCCTTATATATCATGCGTCAGTCCTAAATCATTTCTAAACTGTTGCAAGTCCTAAGGCACTGCGGTTTGGCACAGTGTCTGACTGTGATATTTTGTTTTAAAAAGTTAATGCTAGATCTAAATTGAATCTTTTTGTTGAATAACTTCCATTTCCAGCGCTTTCTGACGCTTTCATGCCTGATGTTTTGGTTGAGGGGTCATCGAGATTGCAAAAAGCAGTACATAAAGATCCCCAGTTATAAGTATTTTATCAAAATTTTCTGTTCAGGCTACATAAAATAGTATGTGTTCGTCTTTTCATATGAAATCTGCCTATACTGAAAAAGCCTGAGGATTCCTTTTTGCATTTCTGGCAGCTGAGCATAAAATTTACTGTAAAGCTATAATTTAAAATAAGCAGCCCTGAGCTATGTTTTACCTTTTGCATTTTAAGGTTGTCTGGCTTGTCAGTGAGACCTTTAACTACAGTGCAATAGATCGTGCAAAGTCAAGAGGAAAAAAATATGCTTTAGAGAAAGTGCCAAAAGTTGCGAAAAAATTTAATCGAATTGGACTACCTCCTAAGGTAAGTCTAAAAAAAGTGATTTGTGCATTTCCTTCTGTCTGCATAAACCATTGACTAGAAAATTTCAATATTCATAGGTAGCTTCCTTTGTTAGAAAGAAAACTTTCTTGCTTAATTAAAAGATCTCTCTGAATAACTGAAGGTTGACAGATAGGATTGATCTTAAGCAAATTTTGTCTACTTTGTTTATGATGTCATTCCTTCATTTAAACTACTTATTTAATCTAGCCACTTCTTGTATCAATTTGCAGGCTTGCTTTCTCCTGGAGAAGTAATCCTCCAGGAGACCTAAAATGTTCAGATCTCTCTCTTTAAAATTTTTTTCACCCTCCTCTTTGACTATTTAGTCTTTCCCTTCAGTATCATGCTTTCATATTGTGTAATTGCTTCCCCCTGCAATTTGATTATCTATTATTTTTTTCCTAATCTGTTATTTTTTCCTATTTTTTTCTCCTTCGTTCTATTGTCTTTTTGCCTTGTTGTATCCACAAAATCTTACCACAGTGTTCTACTCCTAAACTTTTTAAACACGTTTTATGCACAACTCTGGTAATCCGCTTGTGTCAGTTCCCAGCAATTTCAATCCATGTGGCATATTTATGCAAGCTTGTATCAGCATGCTTATTCTGCACAGATACATTCACTGACCTCTCTGCACATGTGTGCACCCTGTGTATTTACTTCTCAAATGCAAGCCATATTTTTGAATTTTCTTCCTGAGCACCTTCCATCTTGCCCACGTATATGGAACTTCTCCCATCTATAGGTTGTTTTTTTTTTTTTTCCCCCTTTGGACTCTTGGGAAATGTAATTCAACCTTTCTCATGCAAAATGTCTATCCTGAAAAGAGATTAAAGCTGCTGTTGTCAACAGTGAAGCTTGCAAGTTTTTCAGAGAGGAGGATTTTCTCCTGTAATTTTTTAGTGATTTTTCTTATGAACTGTTGAGCCAAGTGTTTCTAACACTCGGTATGAAAAGGGGAATAATGTTGTTTTTTCTTCACTCCACGTATTGTGCATGGTGATGAATGTTCGTTCATGTTTGGCTGTTTAACTGCATTTTGTTCTTGGTTAATTCAGGAACAACTTTTAAAAAATTTTAAACAATGATTTTAAAGAAACTTTTTTTTTTTTTTTTTAGTATTTAGCATGAAAGAGAAACCACTTAGTAATCTTACTATTTTATATAGTTTCTGCTGAATGGCTAGGTGTCAAACCACCTGTGTTCAGAACTTTGAAAGGATATCATCAGTTTTTCAGTTAGTGTTAAAATTACTTAAATGACCTACATAAAACGCGCTTTCCAAATGCAGTTTTTAATGTTTCAGGTTGGCTCCTTCCAGCTGTTTGTTGAAGGATATAAGGAAGCTGACTACTGGCTCAGGAAGTTTGAAACTGATCCTTTGCCTGAGAATACGAGGAAAGAATTTCAGTCCCAGTTTGAAAGACTGGTTATCTTAGATTATGTCATCAGAAATACAGGTATCTGTTACGGTGTCCCTTAGTGTCTACCTACTCTGAGGCAGAAATGGCAAACAGTGCTGGCTGACAGTTGCTAAGGAAATTTTCTATTGCGTTTCTCCCCCCACCCCCACCCCCCATATTGAAGGCCAGAATGTTGGCCAGAAACTTACAAAGTCTGTTTTGGTTTCAAATGTTAAATATTATGATACATGATAAGATCCAAGCAACCCTTTTTGGCAGTTACTTGATATTTTTAAGCAACGCAGCGAGTTGAGAACAAACACTTTTCGTTATTCTTTAAGTGTGCTAGTAGGCTCTAGCTATCTGCTTCCCTCAGAAGAACATACAAGGGATGCTGGGGTTTCAGGAACCATAAGAGAAACCGCAGCTACTGTTCCTTTCTGCTAAGTTGGGGCCCAACAACAACCCAGTTTTGCATCAGTGCAAAAGAACTTGTATTTGTTACGATCGGGCACTGAAGCAGAACTGTGGTGCCCATCTTTCAGGTCCCCTGCATTCTTTCACTCAGCATCTAGGATTCTTCTCTTGACTGTGCAGGGGATTTGTTTCCTCAAGGATCCAAAAACATTTTTACCTAAATGCTTCCTTTGCCACTTTATCAGAGGTGGACATCTTTACTGTTCTTCAGGTATACCAGCTCAACTTTATTTTCCTTTTCTTAAATTCACTTATCAGAAAGGAATCCAGCTGAAGATAAGTCACCTTAAGCTCTCTTTTAGCAACAGACTGAAAGAAGTGAGCTTGATGACAAGGAACCGATAGACTACAGCAGTAGCAAGAAAGTGTCAGCTCTGTCAAATAGAACAGCGTTCCAAAATAATTACTGCTTCCTATGACTTCCTTAAAACTTTAAGGAAAATACTCAAAATGGAGAAATTCACTATGTGGATGATGAATCGCATTCATCTAATACATGTAATCATGGCAGAACATGAAAAAGTTCTGAAAGTGGGTGTTTGTTTAAACTTAAGGAAGCATCTTAAGACCGTACAATAACTTACAGATCCATGGCATCATGTATCTGGAAGACCCTATGAAAACCTTTAACACCTCAGTTCCATCTGAATGGTGGAGATGACATTTTCAGAAGCTGACGATGACCTTTTGTTTTCCTTCCATCTTCAAAGAGTTTGTTTCCCCTCTTCCTCAAACTTGTACTGTCTATAGTTTTAGAGGGCCTCTCCTTTTCTCCACCAGCATTAAAGCAGAAGCATAAAACTGAAGTCATCCTGGCTGCTGCTGATGTTCTTTTTTGCAGGAAAAGGGCAGCCAGTCTTTCTGCATAAATGGATCAAAATAGTTTATCTTAGCTTTCTTGATATTTTACTGTATTCAGCCAGTTGGGGAAGCTTGAAGTGATATGTGACTAAACTCATGATAAATTTTCAATCTTTTCAGTAAATCAGCTGCTACAAATGTTTCTGTGAAGCCAAAATACTTGTATTTTGGAAAGAAAAATGTTTGAACGCTTTTGCCTGACTATTTTGGTAAATTCTCCAAAATTTACCAAAATTTACCATACAAATTGTTATATGCTATTTCAGGTGATTATTTCTTTTTAAATAACTTGTGACACACATTTTCATTTTTAAAGACAGAGGTAACGATAACTGGTTAGTCAGGTATGAAAAACAAGATGATGGAACTGATCTGTCAGATAAGGTAAGAAAACTGTATTCTTAAACTGTTTTTGTAGTAATTTGGTCTTGTGTTGGAGGAACTGAATGGCTTTAATGCTGGTGCACGGTCTCAAGAAATGTGATACTGAAAATTTAGGTGAATGGACAAGCTGTTCAGATTAGACTGGTCTGGTTAGAATAGTGCTGGAAGTTATTTTTATTGTTCTATAGTATTTTTTTTGCTAGCTTGGGCTATAATAATAAAACTGTCTGTTCAAACGCATTCCTTCAGTTATTTCTATGTTCTTTTCATATTGTATTTGTATTTGGAGAAGGACTCCTTTTCATTTTCATGTTAGGCTAAGAATTGTGTGTGCTTGAATTTGTTTTATTTAGATACTCCTTTGTAATGCTTAAGTTGACTTTAAGCAATGATGCTAAAAAAAACCCTATATTTAGTATCTTTAATGTATATTCGCTCTTTTGTATGCATGTGTATTTCACTTGGAAATATTTTTCTGTAGGATATCCAATGGACTGTAGCTAAAGAATCTATTATTAAAATTGCTGCAATTGACAACGGGTTAGCATTTCCTTTTAAGCATCCTGATGAGTGGAGAGCATGTAAGTGTGATTAAGTAACCATCTTCCTTCTGAGAGAGTTACTGCTAAATAAGTATTCTTAGATTAGGTTACTGTAGTAAGAAACCATCATTATAACTGTGTCTTGAATTTTTAATAATGGCATTTTTTTCAGGAAATAAGCAACAAATTCCATTGCAAAAATGGAATATGTGACTTAGTCCTTGTTCTTTTTTATCCTTTTACATTAAATAATGCATGGATATTCATAAATGCAATATGATTGTATACTCACTTGTAGAATTGGAAGAGTTTTGCAAGACGTGGGCTTTCCCTTATTGTTGTGGAAAATCACTTGAGTGCAAAGATATCCAGATGGTCCCTTTAATGACTAAATTTCAAAACTATTTCGAAGATATTATTGTAAATGCATAATGAATAGACAACCTGCATGTTATTTTTATGTCTTCAGCTTTACCTTAAAACGTAGAAACTAATCTTTAGCGTTATTCCTACGCAGACCAAAAATTGACGTTATTACTAAATCTAGATTGGAGTTGCTTCTGACTATATAGCTGACTACGTGTAGTCTAGAGGAAGTGCCTTACAAGGCTTACAATTACTTCATCTGGGGACTGTTAGCCGGCCAGGTAATTATAGCAGTATTGAGTTAAGTGTGGGCTAGTTTAGCTGTCAAAAAGCTACTTAATTACCCCTCTCAGAACTCTGTATGGTTCTATTACCTGAAGTAGAAGAAGAAAGAGTGTACTTAGGCAAAATGGACATACAGAAGTTCATAGGAGCAGATGGGAAGCATCCAAAACACTGCTGAGCTGGCTGATGTCATTGTGAGGCTGTCTCATCAGCTCTGAAAAGTTATGGTAACTGAGGGAGGTTCCTGATGAATGGCAAATATCATCTCCATCCTCAGGAAGGGTAAGAAGCAGGTATGAGGAACTATGGATATCCAAGTGCATGAAGAACAAGAAGGTGATGGGGAAGTCAGCATGGATTTGCTAAGGACAAACTGTGCTTGACCAGCCAGATAGCTTTTTATGAGATGACTAGTTTCAGTGAATAGAGGAGGGTAGTGGTTATTTTTTCCTTGACTTTAGCAAGGCCTTCCGCATGATCTCTCATAGAATCCTTGTAGTCAAATTGATGAAATATGGACTGGAAGGTAGGTGGAAAATTGGCTGGACTGTCAGGCTCGAAGGGCCGTGATCAGTGTTAGAAAGTTCAAATGGTAGTCTGCTGCTAGTGATGTTCTTTAGTGGTCTGTACTGGGGCCGATACCCTTTCATATCTTTAACGACCTGGATAATGGGATGGAGTATCCTCTCAGCTAAACTAGGTGACTTTCAAAGATCCCTTCTAACCTAAACTATTTTATGATACAATGCTAATACTAAATACTCTTAAATATCTCTTGAAAAGCTGTCTGTTTTTAACAATATCTATGGTGGGGAAAGAAGAAATGTTTTTCTCAATCTGCTTAAAAGGCAACTTAATAAACTAAAGATTTATGAAAAAATAGTAGCTACTTTTGTTAATTCTTCAGTATGAGCCATACTTCTGAAAAATATTTGTTTTGATTGTAGCCATTATTTTATTCCAAGGGAAACTGCATTACTAAAGAGGAGAAAGCATTTACTTCTATTTACAGTATTTAACTGATATGCATTTTTTAACTTATTGCTTCAACTACGTATTTATTACTTAGAATGTATTTTTTGCTGCTTAGAAAAAAGATTAAGTAAGCTGTACAGCTACTTCTATAATAGTAGTCAGAAAAGGTATATGGGTAACAGATGTTGCATTAAAGTTGATGTCTACTAAACATTCAGGCACACATGAGTATTATATCCATAGTAAACATTTGAGAGTAAACATTTAATTTCTGCCTGTTGTTAATCTGTAAATGTAACTATTTTTCTTTATTAGATCCCTTTCATTGGGCTTGGCTTCCTCAAGCAAAAGTTCCTTTCTCTCAGGAGACCAGAGATCTAGTTCTTCCTCGTATTTCTGACATGAACTTTGTACAGGATCTTTGTGAAGATCTTTATGAACTGTTTAAGGTGAGTAAGATGCCTCTTTGAATTGAGCATCATTGAAATAGCTAATACTTGTAATGGAGCAGTTAGAGGTTCTTTTTGTGAATTTAGCTTGTGTCTGTCATGATATTGTGCTATTTTAGCTGTAATGCTGACATGGCAGGAAGGGTTTGTAATTGGAGGAGGCTGTCACTAATGTGACTAATTGATGGTAATCAGCTTATCCAAAACCATGATTAACTCTTTATATAAGTGTTCCACAAAACTAAAGCCACTTAACTTCAGTAACAAACATCTGTGTACAATCTTTTATTAATGTGCCTGTTTGTGTATATGTGTATGCATATATACACTTCAAACTGTAGCAACCTGAGAAAATCATATTTTTAATGTAACTTCAGGTACTTCCATAATTTTCATAAACGTAATTTTAAATACGTATATTGTGCTAAGTTGACACTAAAATTTTGACTACGTTATTGAATTAGTTTTCAAACAAAAGTTTTGTCAAACTTACTTTAAAGATACTAAAACTGTGCTGCAATATCTACATGCAAAGGACTATCCTTTTTTGAAATGTTCCATAAGCAATTGTAAGCTTTGGTAGGGATAACTTACAAAAGAGAGAAATGCATCTAATGCCCACGTTCAATAATCCAGATGGCAAGGGTTGAAAGAAATGGTAATTTAAACATGTAATGAAAATGCATCTGTAACTGCAGAACTAGATCCTGAAAAACATTCACTAATATTTACATCTTTGATTCAGTTGTGTTCAAAATGACTCCAGGTTATCTGTTAATCACAGTAGAAATTGATTAATAAATCTGAAGGAGGAAATTTTCCTCTAGCTGTAAAAGCATGCTTTGCAAGTCAGAGTTGTGTAATATTATGTGATGGTATGAAGCCTACCTACAGGTATTTTTTACTTTTATGATTATGGTAAATCCTTCATTTTCACATAGGCATTTTTGCTGCAACAAATATGCCCTTTTGTGGGTCATACCATGACTATTTGAACCTTTTAGAAATTATTGTAATGTTGATGCATGTGGCCGTGCTTATTGTGAACTAGATGAATTTTCATGCTAAATATATAGCTAAAAATAAATTGGTCATTTCCTATAGTAACAACTATTTGTTTTTGTAATTAAAGACTGATAAAGGGTTTGACAAGGCTACTTTTGAAAATCAGATGTCCGTTATGAGAGGGCAGGTAAGACTGGCTTTTAAAAATTTTATTTACCTATTTAATACATCATCATTCCTGGCTGTTTTCTTTCAGCGATATAAAAAGTAACTACTATTTAACTGAAAGAGATAAGGGTATTTTCATGTGAGAAGACTGAATTTACTTATAGAGGCTGTTTTTATTTGCATGTCATTGAGGTCACAAAAAGTTTATAATGCTTTTTGGTTTCTATAGAGGAAAATCTTATCAAAGATGGTTTTACTGTTTGGGGGGGGTGGTTCCCCTCTGCAGTCAGTAGTGCGGAGTTCTTTTCCTATATATATTCTTAGAAGATATTTTAAAGATTAGGAGAAATGAAGAAGACTTGCATAAACTTGAATGAAAAATTTGGTGGCTAATTTGGTTATGCTATTAAAATAGATGTGACTTTATTTTGGAGGGTTAGCTTCATCACTGGAATACACCTCACAAAGAAGAAATATTAGGTAATAGAGTTTATTGCTCCGAGCAGGGATGGTCTCAGTAAGAACCAAAAACTAAAAAAGTAATCCAGGCATTTTCAGGTTAGAAATTTGGCAATGTTTATCTTCTTTGTTTGTTTGAGTGTGTATGTGTTTTCAACTGCTCATGCAGGGAAGGGGAAGGGATTTTCTATCTCCTTGCTCTCTTAAAATTTAAGATTAGTGATATACCGGAAAGTAAGCTTTAGCTGAAAACAAAGTATTTAACTCATTGCAGTTAACTAGACAGAAAACAATGATTCTGTGATACAGAGGAATCTGGCTAGATGATTTAATAGTCCCTTTTGTCCTTAACTTACTGAAACTGACTTTTCCGCGTTCATAATTTCAGCATGGATAGTTTAAAGCCATTCACAATTCCTAGAGTGGTTTAATCTGACTTTAGGTATATACGCTGGCTAAAAGCCAACAAAGCTTATTTGTTAAATTGAATTAACAGGAGTGGTTTCTGAAATATCAGACTTCTCAGAAAAGTTATGTAGTCACTGGAAGGTCACTTGTAAAGTATTCATTCAGCTTGGACTGTGTTAGGGAGCTTTTTTGTGATAAAGTAATTTGCTGCGGGGAATTCATTTTTTAACAAAAAGCTTCAGGAAAAAAAATCCTGATCTGTGTAATCAAGAGAAATTGAAAGCTTGTCTTTTAAGAAACATCTAGCTGAGGATGTCGGAATTCATTTGCCACTGTAAAGGTTAAATCTGGACCCATTCTTTCTCTAGCCCCCCACCTCCCCCCGCCCCCCAGCCCTTTGGATTTGGATAGAGATCTTAGTAAAATTGCTCTCTAGCTGTACAAGAATGTGTTTTACTGCAGGAGATGTTAGGTTCTTATGCGTGGAATAGGAGAAAAAATGCTGACAATTAACTATTCTTGGATGCAATTGCTAATAGACTTTTTTTCTGATAAAGAAATGATGCTTTTTATTAATGATTTTAGACCGGCTTTTGTTGTAAAAGCAAAGTAGATTTCAAAAGCACTATAGAAGAGCTGGATAACTTTGATTCACATGATTATGGATTCATTCAGTTAAGATTAATTAGCAGGACAGCCAAAGCTAGGTCTGTAAATAAATCCTTAAAAGTGAAAAACTTATCAATTAGTTACTTAATTATTTTAATTCTTAAGGAGGCTAAAGAACAGTATGTCTTGCATGTAAAGGGGAAGACCTTTAAATTGTAGGTGCTAAAACTAGTTAGAAGCGTATTTTTGCAAAGTAGGGAAAAAATTACCGGGAGGACTTCAAACCGATAAGATAAACAGTTACCTCAAGAATATACAGACTAATCAACAAACTAGCACAGATCTACAAAAGATTGCCTTAGAACTTAAAAAAATGTGAGCGTAAAGCGGAGTTGCCAGAAGAGGTGAGTTGCAGTAAACCACGCGGAGGATATTATCTATCAGGGTTTTTCAGCCTTGTAAGCGCAGATTAAACCAGGGGAGCAGTAAATTGCTAAGGAAGAAAGGAGCATTGTGCAGTGAAAAATGGTTGAGATTCAGGATAACGCTGGTATGTCTGTACAACTAAACTGAATACTTGCTGTTGTTTTCAGTAAGGATAACATTGAACAGAGTAAAACATCAGCGTGCTTAGAGGGCATTGAAGTTCTTGAAGTAGCATAGACTCAGGGCAGATGAAAGCTGAATTTGGACCTTAGGACTGAGTTTAGTAATATGGCTTCGTATCTTCTCATATGAAAAGTATTTTGTAGCTAAATTCCCAGTAGACCCGAATACATTGATTGCTTCTCTGTAAGGCTTTTTGCTCCAAGGTATGATATATTTAAGAGAAGTGTCAAAGTTAAAAAATACTCTTAGTTTATTTTTGTACTTATAATGTTTTTCCAAAATTTGAGAGGGAACTTGCTTAGAATAATTAAGAAAAGGAGGATAGTCAGGTGACAGTAGGATGTCATAATATTACCAAATAAAATAGTTCTATTTGCAGTGGAATATATTTCTTAAATTATTTATCAATGCAGTCTCTTTCTACAGAATTGATCCAGGAATGGTATCTAAAGTTGCAAATTTATTAACGTCAGTTTAATTTGTGCACTCCTCTCCTTTTTATTATTTTAGATATTAAACCTTACTCAGGCATTAAAGGATGGAAAGAGTCCCCTTCAGCTTGTTCAGATGCCACGTGTGATTGTGGAGCGAAGTAGCACTGGAAGTCAGGGCCGAATTGTTCATCTGAGTAATACGTTCACACAAACCTTTCATAGCAGAAAGCCTTTCTTTTCCTCCTGGTAGCAACAAAGATATACGAGAAAAATAAATGTGTCTCATTTTGTAAGCTACTTTTGTGTAAAGGCTCTGCAATAATGTGATTTTTGCTGTATACCAAGAGCTCTGACTGCCGACACCTCAGAACTTAAGAAATATATTTTGAATGTAATCAAAGTTTACAATTTTTGTGTCAAAATTGTGAATTCTTATGTCAGGGAATGAGAAGAACTTGTCTATACTGTATTTTTATAGACTAAATTAATGTATTCTGAATAATAAAGGGAAGATGCACAGTTTGCATATGCTGATATATACTTTTGAATACAATAGAAATTCTATTATTTAATGTAAAGAGGAGAACCTATTCCCTATCAAGTTCTTTTTATATGTTCTTTAAAGAAGAAGCTCAGAACGTTATCCTTGGTTGTGAAAATGCTTTTCCATGTAACTTCTTCCTGATATCCTAGGCTATTTATAGGTTTTCATAGGCTAGTTACTTAGGGGGAGGGGGGAGTCATGCATTTAAGACAAAACAAAACAAAACTCTTTGACACCTGAGTAACAGAATGTGGGGAAAATATGGTCCAAATGTATGTGTATGTGGTTTTTTTGAAAGTGGGGATCAAGAATAGTAGTTTCATAATTTTAATTATGGCAAAATCCTGCCCCCTGGTAAGTACATACAGTTCCTACGGTAACTAAATAAACGAGGTGTATATTTCAGATGGTGAAACTTCCTCTGTAGCTGTTTTAACTTGTGTATTTAAATACAGGTACGGAGAACTCATATTTCTCTATAGACCCATCACAGAATAATTATACAGTATTGTTACAAGTTTGGTTTGCCATATGCATATAAATGTGTATAATTACAGTGTGTTCATCAGCGGTCACAAAACTGGTTCTTTGCTATTATTGACAGGAGCACTGATGTGTTCCTCACTAAGCCAGCCTGCCTTCTAAATTCCTATCCAAATACACCATTGTATTTGACCAGAGAAAACGAGTGTAAAACATAGAGTACAGAGACTTATTGTTGGACCCATAGCAGTGTCTGCCTCTTCTGCCAATTTTCATTTGCTTTTATATTTAAGTTATGTATTTAAGACTTGCTGGTTACATAAGCCACCAATTTGGAAAAGTGACATGATAAATATTTTTATTTTAGTAATATTCTGGGCAGTTGAAAACAGGAATGGGAGAAAAATTGCTGCTTTTATGAAACCTTCAGTATTTCAGACATCTCTGTATTTTGTAATTCTAAGCAATACTGTTGAACTTACTATACTTTTATATGATTTTGAGTGAATGTAAATATTTATGTAGCATGTCAGCAATTCACTTGATTAACTGAAATGTTTAAGCCTTAAATGTAAAACTTACTGTACTGTGGGGTTTAAAATAAGACTGAAATGACCACCTTTATAAAGTTTCCATGGTTTGTTTTTTATCCAAACAGCTTATTAAAATTTAAAGGTGTTTAAGTATCAGACTCAACTTCTCAAGACAATAAATGTCATAATCTAAAACGCATAGATTTGTGGACTCGTGTTTTATTTGTTCTGCAGAAGGTAGTCCTGATTTTGCTGCTTCTTTCACTTTTCACTTTCTTGGATGGTTTTGCTTTGGTCTGTAGTACCAAGTATATACATGGGTGCGGTACTGCACCGCAGCCTTGCTGTCCAGCGGTTCTGGCTGTGCGGGGCAGCTTGCTCTGCCTTCTCTGCTAAATGAGATCACGTTTCTATTTGCATCACCATTTTACTGCTTTTTCAGAGTGAGCACGTAACTAAATGATTATCAAGTACTGACCAGAGGCATTGTACCTGCTTCCTCTGTCTTGAAAAAGATCAAGAGTGAGTTTTGTGGAGGACTTCAGCTGGATAGCAGTGGTATGGATGGAAAAATTGGAATAAGGCTGCAACGCCCTTTTTCACTTTTGAACTTGGAACAACTCTAGATGCTTCAGTACGCCCGGTCAGGCCTACGTGACGGGCTGTGCGTATAAAACCCTCCTCTCTTTTGTGCTACTTCCACAGATCGTTCCTGAGAGTAGTCTCCTGCGTTTTATTGCTGCACCTGGATTATACTGGAGCGTTTATCCAAGGGCCCGTGAGTAAAGGCGGCACGAGCGCTGCCAGCCCCGGCCCGCCGGCGCTCTGCGCCTTCCTAGAGATTTCTGCTGCTTTGGTCATTATGGTTATTTTAATGGAACTTGTTGATTAGATAAAATATATGTGTAAACCTTGTTTCCTCAGCAGGCCAAGCTGTCCTTACTATTAACTGAAGTAAGGAGCGACAGAAAAAATTCAAAATCTTGCCTCTTCTGCAAGGTTTTGGGTTGGGGTGCGGGGGGGGGAAGTTGTGAAGTAGTTTGACTAAGCAACTCTGGGCCTTACAGCGTCAGGTTTGATTTAAATATTTGGAAACCTGTGAAACCGTTTTTTAGGAGCAGCAGCAGAAGCTGGGGTGAGTGCACAGTCCTGCTTTTCTGAAATTATTCCAGAACTTAGGTATGATTCTTACAGCTGAGAACAGACACCACCGTGCTGCTGTTAAAACTCGTTTACAGCTCCTACACGCTAGAAGTAAATACGAATTTCAGTGGCTTCAGCAGCAGCAGCAGCAGCGCTGAGGTAACGCAAGGGCCAGGCTCGCGCTTCGGCGGGAGCAGAGCGGGGCTCCAGCGGCCGCTCTCCCTTCCCTT